CTAGGGAAACACTGGTGGTTTGCAGTGGGCTGGAAGGAGCAGATGGGTTTGGTTTTTGTTTTATTGATGCTTTCCTTCACTATGCAAAAATTTTTAGTTTGATGTAAGCCCAATTTTATTTTTTATTCGTTGGTTTTGAGGTTTTTTTGCTTTTGTTTTCCTTGGAGGAGACAGATCCCAAAAAATATTGCTAAGTTTGATGTCCAAGAGATTACTGTCTGTTTTCTTATATTAGTTTTATGGTTTTAGGTCTCACACTTAGGTCTTTAACCTATTTTGAATTTATTTTGTGTATTGTGTAAGGTGATTCAGTTTCAATATTTTGCACATAGTTGTCCAGTTTCCTCAGTACCATTAATTGAAGAGACAGTACTTAACTGTGTATTTTTGCCTCCTTTGATGTAGATTAATTGACCATATAAACATGGGCTCTCAATTTTGTTCCACTGATCTATGTATCTATTTTTGTGCTAATACCATTCTGTTTTAATTACTACAGCTTTGTAATATAATTTGAAATCTGGGATTGTGATACCCTCAGCTTTGTTCTTCTTTTTCAAGATTGTTTTGGCTATTTAGGGGCTTTTTTGTTTCAGACAAATTTTTGGATTTTTTTATTGTTATAGTTCTGAAAAAATATTGTTGATATTTTGATAGTGCATTAAATTAGTAGGGTGCTTTGGGTATTATTGACATTTTAAGAATATATTCTTCTGGAGCACCTGGGTGTCTCAGTCATTAAAAGTCTCTGCCTTTGGTTCAGGTCAGACAATCCCAGAGTCCTGGGATAGACCCCCCACATCATGCTTTCTGCTCCACAGGAAGCCTGCTTCTCCTTTCCCACTCTCCCTGCTTGTGTTCCCTCTCTCTCTCTGTCAAATAAATAAACAAATATCTTTTTTTTAAAAAAAAGAATATATTCTTCCAATCCATGAGCATGGTATATTTTTCCCATGTATTTGTGTCATCTTTGAGTTCTCTCATCAGTGTCTTATGGTTTTCAGAAGATAAGTCCTTCACCTCCTTGGTTAAATTTATTCCTAAATATTTGATTATTTTTATGCAATTGTAAATGGGAATTTCTTCATTTTCCTTTCTGTTATTTCATTATTAGTGTATAGGAGTGCAACATATTTCTGTATCTTGATTTTGTATTACACAACTTCCCTGAATTAACTTATTATTTTTTTAAAAGATTCCTTTTAGAGGGGCACCTGGGTGGCTCAGTGGGCTAAAGCCTCTGCCTTCAGCTTGGGTCATGATCCCAGGGTCCTGGGATCAAGCCCCGCATCGGGCTCTTTGCTCAGCGGGGAGCCTGCTTCCTCCTCTCTCTCTCCCTGCCTCTCTGCCTACTTGTAGATCTCTGTCAAATAAATAAATAAAAATCTTAAAAAAAAAAGATTCCTTTTAGAGAAAAAGAGAGTGTGCTGAGGGAAGGGGCAGAAGGAGAGGGCAAGAAAGAATCCTAAGCAGGCTTCACACCCATGACAGGCCTCATGTGGGGCTTGATCTCATGACCCTGAAGTCATGACCTGAGCCAAAATTAAGAGTCAGATGCTTAACTGACTGAGCCACCTAGGTGCCCCTGAGTTAATTAATTAATTCTAACAGGTTTTGGTGGATTCTTTAGTATATATAGTATCCTGTTCTCTGCAAATATTGACAGTTTAACTTCTTATCAATATGGATGTCTTTTCTTTTGTCTGATTGCAATTGTTAGGACTTCCAATAGCACCTTGAATAAAAGTGGCAAGAGTGGACATCCTTGTCTTATTCCTGATCCTAAAGGAAAAGCTCTGTTTTTCATCATTGAGTATGTTAGCTGTGGGTTGATATAGATGGCCCTACCACAACTGGGGTATGTAGTGTGTTAACATCCCTTACTATTATTTTATTACAGTCAGTTTCTCCCTTATGTTTGTTAATATTTGCTTTATATAGTTAGGTGTTCCTAAATTGGGTGCATAAATATTTACAGTTGTTACTTCTTCTTGGATTGATCCCTGTATCAATATGTAATGACCTTTTTTTCTCTTGTGACAGTCTTTTGTTTTAAAGTCTATTTTATCTGAATATTGATAACCCAGCTGTAGGGTTTGTTTTGTTGTTCTTTTGGGGTTTTTTTTGCTTCCATTTACATGAGGTAACTTTTTTCTGTATCTTCATTTTAATCTTTATATGTCTTTATGTCTAAAGTGAGTGTTTTGTAGGTAGCATATAGATGGGTCTTTGGGTCTTGCTTTTTTTATCCATTCTGTGTTTTTTGATTGGACCATTTAGTGCATTTACATTTAATTATTGGTGTGTTCATTGTCATTTTGTTAACTTTTTTTTCCCTGTTCCTTTCTTCTTTTGCTCTCCTCTCTTATGATTTGATGGCTTTTCTTGAGTGTTATGCTTAGATTCCTTGCTCTTTACCTACTATAGGCTTTTGGTTACCACTGGGTTCGTATGTAGCATCCTATGTGTGTACAGCAGTCTATATTGGGTTGATGGTCACTTAAGCTCAAACACGTTTTAAAAGCATGGAATTTTTACTCCCTCCATATTTTATGTATATGATTCTATATTTTATGTATCCCTTGACTAATTTTTGCATATATTTACTACTTTAGTGTTTTAATATCCTTACTGGCTTTGTGATTGAAGTACTACCTTTACTATGTTTACTTTTCCCAGCAAAAGGTTTTCCTTTCATAATTTTCTTCTAGTTATGGTCTTTTCTTTCTACTTAAAGAATTCCCTTTAACATTTCTTGTAAGGCCAGATATAGTGTTCTTGGTAGTCAGTTTTATCCTGTCAGCACCTTGCGTGTTATCAACCACTCCTCTACTCTGTAAAGTTTCTGCAGAAAAATCAGATGATAGCTTTATGGGGCTCCTCTTGTAATTGTTTACTTATCTCTTGTTTTTAAGATTCCCTCTTCATCTTTAATTTTTGCCATTTTAATTGATATCAGTCTTGGTGTGGACATCCTTAGGTTCTTCTTGTTTGGGGCTCTGTTTCCTGGAACTGAATGTCTGTTTCCTTCCCCAGATTTGGAAAGTTTTCAGATGTTATTTCTTCAAGAAGTTTTGTTGACTTCGTCTCTCTCCTCTCCTTCTGGGAAGGAATAATAATGTTATTATGCTGGTGACGTTGCAGAGGTCTCTTACTCTGTCATTATTTATTCTTTTCCCTGTTCAGCCTGGTTGCTTCACATTACCCTGTCTTCCAGATCCCTGATCCATTCTTCTGTATCCTCCCATCTATTGATTCCACTAGTGTATTGCTCATATCAGCTTTTGTATTCTTCACCTCTGATTGTTTTTATCTTTTCTATCTCTGTTGAAGTTCTGAGTTCATCCACTCTTCTCTCAAAGCCCAGTGAGTATGACCATGACTTTGAACTCTTTATCAGGCATATTGCTTATCTCTGTTTTGTTCTTTTTCTGTGATTTTTCTTTCATTTAGGACATATTCCTTTGTGTCATTTTGTCTAACTCTGCATTTGTCTATATATTAACTACTTAATACATAGTTATGTCTCCTGATCTTGAAAGTAGTGGCTTTGTGTAGAAAGGGCCCTGTTGTAAACTGTTCCTAGGCACTAGAACCAAGCACTTCAGGGGTGTTCCCTGTGTGGACTTCATGTGCCCTCCTGTTGTGCCTGAGCTATAACAACTCTAAGTGCCCTGTGAGGCCTGGTTGCAGTCAGTAGTGGGGGCACTGGTGGCTGGGGTTTGCTTTCTGGACTGCTGGTTTAGAGGCCTAGCTGCAGCCACCATAGCCTCACTGGTGGGCAAGGTTGGCACTCAGCCCAGCTATCTGCATAGTAATGAGCCACTGTGACTACTGCATGTGTGCTGGTGCAGAGGGTTTGCATCCCGCCCCTGCCCAGGGCAGGTCCATCAAGGAATGATGTGGTGGGGCATATAGTGCTAGCTAGCAAGGTAGATTGAAGAGTGCTAGAACTGACTCCTGAAGGCCTCTGGCTATCTAGGCTGAGGAAAGGCAAGAAAAATGGTGCCAGCCAGCACTTTTATTTCCAGAAAAAAATGCTGCAGATCCCTGCCCCACTGACACATGCCCTAAAATTAGTTAATAAATCTCCACATATAGCCCAGGTACTTTTCGAACCCTGTCTTACACACTGTGTGCTGGGCCGTTGTTTGGCTTGTTGGCTCTTTAAGGGCGGAGACTCCGTTTCTTACAGCTCTCCAGGTCTGCTGGAGGTAAGCCTTGCTGATTTTGAAAGCCAGGCATATGGATACTCACCTTCCCGGTGCAGGATTGGTGGTGTTTGGTGTGGGCTGTGATCCCCTTGCTCCTCTGTGCTTATGATGTCCCTCCTGTGTGTGGGTAGTTGTGCTGGGGTTTGGTTCCATATTGCATTTCTGTTCCTTCCTTTCTCAGTGTAGCCTTCTCTCTGCTATTAGCTGTGGGAGAACTGTCAGTCTTCAGGTCATCCTTCAGAATTAGTTGCGTAGATGTTGTTGCTGCCTCTATGGGATGAAGTAAGCTCAAGATCTTCCTATTGCTACCACGTTTGAGCTCTGGTGTGTCTTGAATTCCCTGTGCACACCTGAGTTTCACCTGGGTCTGGAACTATTTGTTTTTACACCTACTCGTGTACTGCCACTTCTGTTACTAATCTGATATGCAGTTCAACTTCTTACCCATTCACCTTTCTCAGAGGAATATGGTCATGTCACACAGGTATTCTGAGTCAGTGGGGTTTAACTAGGTGGGGGCAGCGGAAGCAGTACAATTGCTTTTTTTTTTTTTTTTTTTCTGTGGGTGGAGGGGAGAGGGCACTCAGAGGCTGGTTTGTATTTTTTTTTTAAGTTCCACAAGTGATTTTGATATAAAAATCTTAATCTGTTTTAACTTTTTGATAGATTTGCTATTTATCCTATTTTGGTTTTAGGCCAAATCAGAAGAATTGCTTTTCTTATAAACATCGTTAGTGAATAAACCAACTTTTAATTTAGATATTAGCACTGTGCTTTTTCTCATAGGTATCCTCTTTGAGAAATGAAAAGCGAGGCTCATCATATCTCATCTCTGCCCCAGAAGGTGGTTCTGTGGAATTTGTTGACCAGCATTCTCAGGGCACAGGAGCATATTACATGGAAACCTACTTAAAAAAGAAGCGCGTATACTGAGTTAAGTTCTCTTCTCATAACCTCATAAGGTTTTTGCAGTATCTCTGCTGTTCATCGCTGCCTTAACTACATTCAGACTAGCCATATCCTTTAAATACGGGTTTCTAATTTCCCAGAAGGAACTGTATCGTGCAGCAAGCAGAATTGCCAAATAAAAAATAAGTAGCAATAAGATAAGACAATGGAGGACATTTTCCATTACAATTAGATGCATCTTAATTGGTATTAACTTATAGTCCATTGGAGAAAGTAACAATGTTCCAATATTCCTTGTTTAGGACTGGGAATAATTTTGACACCATATATAAAAGTATGAAGCAATAAATGGGAAACGGTCTTGTTTCCTGAGCCTTAGAAAAATGAATTTCTTATATGCCAATGTGCATTTCAATCTACTTTCCCTAGAAGTAATCTCATTTGTAGATTTTTAGACCTTTTCCTAGAACTACAAGAGTGCAAGTACAAAATGCAGTGCTGGTAGTGTTATAAAGATGCTCTACATGCAAACTAATTACCCTGTATCAGCCCTGCAATATAAAACCCAGAGTGATAGTGATGTCCAAGTTCTACACAACTACAGATGCTTTACTTTTAATGTTCTCTACCTACCATTTATACCTTTTGTGAAAAACGAGCTATTTTTGAAAAAAAAAAGTAGCTTTGGTGAAATAATTTCAGGGGTTGGCTGACTACACCCTGGGGTCAAGTTCAGTCCTCCACTGTTTTTATACTGTCTGCAAGCTAAGACTGAGGTTTACATTTTTAAATGAAGTAGAACAGATTTGAATTAAGTTCTGTGAAATTCAAATTTCAGTGTCCATATATGAAATTTTATTGGAACACAAACATGCTCATTCATTTACATACTCTCTAGAGCTACTTGTGTGCTACAGTGGCAGTGCTGAGTAGCTCTGACCGAGACCACATGGACTGCAAAGCCTAAAATATTTATTGTCTGGGCCTTTATGGGGGAAAGTGTGCAGACCCCTGGTCTAATGGCACTAATTCCCTAATCTTTTAACTTCTGCAACAGACTTGTAAGTGGCAAGCAATGTAGGTTTCTATGTCTGATTTCATGGCATAAACCAATGATGATCTAATTGCTAGAACAAGGCCTATTTTGATCCTCAAATGCCCTATTTCCCCAGTATAGTTCAACAGTCAATACTGCTCTTTCTGGAGGAGCACTATGGAGTAACAAATATAACAGTTTTGAGCTAGTGAGTTATACCTCATTTTCTGCTTTGTCTCTTATTCTTTTGTAGTGTTAGGCTGAAAAATTATCAGCCATTTAAGTCAATTTACTTCGGCAAGAATTGTGTTTATTGCATATAACTTTTGACATCACCATTTCCCCGAAGACTTTGGTATTAAACACATGAGAAACCCTTTGCCACCTAGAAGTTTCCAGGTTTGTTCCTTATGATCCTAGTCTTTTTGAAATCAGATCATTACATATCTTCTAGTAAGTACCCTATTCTAATGATCAAGTTTAAAATTGGTATGACTTTAAAGAAATTGGTCTAATTTGTTTCATACATTAACTTCTACTTGAAAGTGACAGCTAGAAAGTTAATTACGAAGGATTGGCATCAGTCAGTTATGACTCAGCAGATGCATAACGGTTTCTCCATGTTCTGCGCTTCTCCTTCCCATTTCCTATCACATTAAGCATCTTCAGTGCTTAGTCACACCTCTGATAATACAACCAGCAGACGGTGAATTTTAACTCAGAGCTGCAAAATGAAAGCAGGAAGAGGGTGAAAGAATGAAGTACTTTGGATGATAGCCCATGGGGATCTGCCCTGTCACTGGGTAGAACAGAGAAGTACAAATCAAGTGGTGTTTGTATTAAGGACCACTACCAAACTCCCCACCCCCCTGCAACGTCTATACTGTTATTTTTCTATGTAAACATATTGTTTGAATGCTTTGAAAGTAAAATCTTAATATTAAAAGGCATATGCATGTGAAGTCTCTAGTATATTTATTTGTATAAAGAGTAAACAAAGTGCATATAGAGTGGCCACAGGTTTGACACAGACAGAGACCTTGGTGATGTCGGGTTATTGAATAAATTTAAATGGCAAGTTTATTGCTGCCATTGAATCAATCCAGAACGCTCTTTCAGGCTCAATAGGTGAAAAGTAATGATCTCAAACAAATGCTAGATAGCATTAACAAAAAGTTTTTCAGACTCTTGGTCAAGTTCTTAGGGTTCACATTGAATCAGAGATTAGACACTTTTGATCACCCAGCTACCTCCAAGCAAACAGAAAACTGTCTAGTAGCTGCTGAACTCTTGCAGGTGGATGGTTAGGCACGGAAACACGGACTGGCTGCACACAGCCTCCAAAGCCAATGCTGCAACAGCTCGCCGCACAGTGGTCGAGTTAGCGAAGGACTGACAGGAGCATTTCTGAAAAGCACATAGGCTAGCATCCGGGGGTCTTGGAGTCCGTTCTGCCTAAAGGGCTCCTGGGTAGGAAAGCGCTGCCACAGGCCTGGTTCTCAAGAGTCAACAGCAGCAGAGTCTTTATCCCGCCGCCGTCCCCGGCTCTGACCAGTTTCCTTAAGCGTCAGTGCGGCTGGTCACCCGTGGGGATAGGAGCAAAGCCACTGAAGAAACAAAGTTTAAGCCCTACTGGTGACAGGAATACACTCAGCTTTGTATAGAAACAATAGTCTACTAACTGCTATCTAATATTTCAAGAACGCCTGGGCTAGCACTGTAGAGACCCTGAAATCTGAGGGCATGTCTGAGTACTGGCAACATCCGTCAACCTCTCTCGGAAAGCATTTCCGACCAGCCGGGAACAGGGCTGCTGTTGGCTCCCCTCATTCTCTGGTAAGCAAGCGGGGCAGGGCACCAGCCAAACAGCATGGTGCTTTCCGTTCTTTCCAAAAGGAGGAGTGCTTAAGTGCTTTCTATTGTTTCTACTGTTTGTGTTACAGGGGCCAAATTTCAAGAGGGAAGTACTTACACATAATAAGCACCACAGTGTGCCTTACATACCCAAATACAAATTTTTTTCCATTAAAAATTTTAAATGGCTTGGGTATTGGTTGGGGAAGGAGGACTTGATACACAAGAGTTTAAATGTTACTCATGCTTCTTATTTTAAAAGTGCTTCAAATCCTTCGATAAGGTTCTGAAAAGTTGTCCGATTGGATGGTTGGAACTCCCAGCATTTTCTCATAAGTTGATAAACCTGTAAGAAGAGGGAAAAAAAACTTTTTGGAAATGGACTTTTCTTATTACTCAAAGTATTATTGATGAACAATCTATCTTGAGAAGCTCATGAATCGACCTTCCAAAAAGTCCAGGTCATCACATCTCAGTGTAGATGCTAAATGTCCTCAGTGGTTGTTCTCTGATGCTTACAAACTCTTCAGTGCATCTCCAACAGTCTTAAGAGTTGGCCTTAAAGACTCAAATCACTTTAGAATACAAAAAACTGAATAAATGTCATAAATGATACTGACGAACATGCAATTATAGCTGACCCGCGAACAACACGGATTCAACTGTGCACATCCAGTTATACACCGTTTTTTCAATAAATATGATCTAGTGCTATAAATATATTTTCTCTTACCATTTTTTTCTCTTGTTATCAGTAAAGCTCTTGGTCAACAGCAGACTTAAGTTTTGGGTAATCCAAAGTCACCTCCCTTAATCCCATGTGAGTCAACTCTCTATGAACGGGTCACATTTGGGCTACAACAGACTGTGCTCCTGTGATCCTTGAGGGTGCTCACTGAGGTGAGCCTACTTTTGGAGGGAATCCTTACTTTAACTTGTGGCTGTCACCTGCCCCAAAGATGGTTTTTCAGATGTCTGATCTGAAATTCAGCTTCAGAAAATTACTTTAAAAACAACTTTTTTACTTCTTCCCACCCCTTCACCCAAACCCTTGCTGGATAACTCAAGCCCTGAAAACATAACATAAATTGAATGTTACTGTAAAATGGCCCCCAAATACCTCATCTGGACAGTGAAGTGGACAAGGCAAACGTTTTCCTTCTTTTAATGTATTCACAAGTCTTGTGACTGTCATCTGGCCATGAGTTGGGCCTATCATTTTCAGGAACAACTATGTAAAATCAAACCAAACCAAATATTTTAGTACATATTTATATCAACAGATTAAAATAAGATTTCTAGAATCTTAATTTCTGGAAATTAAGATAATAAAAAGGCTTTTCTCCTTAGTAATTATTTTTCCTAAAGATTTTATTAGAGGTAGGAAACAGCAGAGGGAGAGGGAGACTCCCTGTTGAGCAAGGAGCCTGATGCAGGGTTAGATCCCTGGACCCTGAGATCATGACCTGAGCCGAAGGCAGATGCTTAACCCACTGAGCCACCCAGGCCTCCCTCTCCTTAGTAATTTGAAATGCAAGCCCAGAATCTTGATTAGCTCTCAATGATTAGTCCGTAATCGTGCTCTCAGACTTTACCAAACCATCCCTTCCCCTGGTTGAAGAGCCAGTCTCAGTGAAAATGATCTCATTAATAAATACCTCAGGCTCAAATAAGGCCCTCCCCACTGCCCCCTTATTCTCCCAGGAAACTGTCCCTGGACTCCTCACACAGGTAAGATCCTTGAAAGTTAAGCAGCATTTTCTAGAACTTGAGCTTCTTGTGAAATGAGGACTTGAGAGGGCCACAAGTGTCAAGTGACAAACCATGTTAAATGGAAAAGTGATACTTTCCACTGCAACACCCTAACTGGATTCCATTTAAGAACAAAATTTACACATTTTCAATGGGTGCCAGGTGTGGACGAAGGGACAAAGAAGCCTTACCGCCATGGGGCTGTAATCTGAGTCGCAGTAAGTAAGCAACTCATGCAGAGTCACTCCAAACGACCAGACATCAGAGGCGATGTAAAATTTACACTGAATTAAACATTCGGGAGCATACCTGAAAGAAAGCAGACCATGAAACTACAGAGTAACTCCAAAAAATCACTCCTTCGGCTTCTCTCAGAGTTGAA